AAAAAAAAAAAAAAAACACTCATTATCCCACACGAGGTGAAAACTGAAAAGTCATTTCGAAGAATTCTTTTTGAAAGGAATCAAGTAAAACCTTCATTATCTTCTCGAGTTTCGGTTTTTGAACTTCTGGGGGTAAATTCGGATCGAACTCAGAAGGAGGTGAAAGCAAAGAAAGCTGCCCGACATAATTCTCGAAAGTTTCGTTTTCTACCATCATTCCAAATAGAACAGCTGGATCAATGACAGAGTTCCTTAAAAGAATCAGAAAACAATTAAGAAAAGTCAGTTTTTTCATAAGTCCGAAGTTGTTGTGCCCTTTTTTTTAACTCAATTTCTTCATTTGTAATCTTGGATTTGACTTTAAATTTTGCTGAATATTACTTACTTTGTTGAATCCCCTTTTCCATATTTGTTATACGCTTCTCGCTTTTCGGGGTCGCTTAGTATCTGATAAGCCTCACCTAGTAACTAAATACGAAAGGATTATCACGAACGATTTCAAAAAACTAAACACGAAAGGCTAAAATTTTCAGAACAAAAAGGTGTATCACTCAAAGCAAAATATACATGCTTGAAATTTATTGCGCTTTCAAGAACTGACACAATATTTTTTTGAAGGAAAAATGTTATACTGAATAAACATCATATAAGAATATTATTCCTCACTTAAAATGATGATACTTTGTGCACTACTAATAGTCTTACAGAAAATACACGACTCGAACATAGAAAAATCAAGAGAAAGGAGCACATCAATGCCAATTCTTACAAAATATATGCATGTATTTTCAAACTACACCAGGAGAAAATAGATAAACTACAAAAAAATAGTGCATTAAATCTATATAATCGTTCAAATAGAGAAAAATAAAATAAAAATGGTCAACCTGTGGGCTTTCTGGTTACCACAACAACATGAAAAATGAGCATTTACAACAGATGAAAATTCCTATCAGCTTATATCAGTTGTTTTCGAACTGATACAATTTTAGTTCAAAGCATACAATCAATATGTGATATGCAAAATGAATTAAATAAAAAATTTACATAATTCCCTCTACAAAAACAGCGTGAACTTACACAAAAATCTCGAGCAGCAGCTTCTGGATCTCCATGATTTTTATCAGGATGAACCTCTTTTGCCTAGTATTGAAAATAAGAAATGTTATTCAAATATTTCATTATCATTACGAAAGACTTCTCGTCCGGTTTCAATTGGTAAAAAGAGTAAGGATCATATCAAGATACTAACTAAGGAAATCATCATAACACGTCAAGTTACGAGCTATTTATTAAATTCAGTTCATCGTCACCAAGAGAAGAAAATCCAGCTCAACTCCACAATAAGTACCTTAAATCCAGACTTAATAACAAAAAAAAAAAACAAAAAAAAAAAATAAAAAATATACAGCTTGAGTTCAATATTGAGAAAAATCAGTAAAGCTGTCCAGTTGTTCGGCAGGTCTAACGGTTAGACGACCATACTTTTTCGACCTAACTGTTAGGGAAATATATAGATAACCATTTGGGGTCTGTAAAAATGAATCAGCACTTCTTCATTTCATAACAAGGAAAAAAAAAAATTGATGTAACCTGAGAATAACATTATTTTTTTGAAATCCTCACCTTTTGGTAATAAGCCTTGTTGATCTCTGCACGAGAAGCATCCACTTCGACTCCTAATACCTCGTAATACGCTTTGTTCACAGCCATGATTTACAGACAGCTAATGTACAAAAAAAAATAATAATAATAATTCAAATACCAAATATTTTGTATAATTTAGAATAAAATTAGAAAAAAATAAATAAATCTCAAAATCTTGTTAAAATGAATCAGAAATGCAAGAAACCCATAACAAAGAGAAAGGGACCAAAAATAAAGATAAAATTAATTAAAAAAAAATTAGCCCACATTAAATAAATTCATACAAGCTCACGCGTTTGTGAAAAAAGATTCGATCTTTACGAAAACGAAAGGCAATTAACGGAATAAAAATTAACGATTTGCAGAAATTAATCGCCCAAATACAGATTTTGTCTAACAAACCATGGAATGAAAAAAAGGGCAATCAATGGAGGTTTTAGAGATAAACTCACTCTTTGGGGCAGAGGAAAATGAACAGCTCGCGCAATAATAAAGAGATTCAATTCTTGAATTCGTAATGGGTTTTTCTCTGTGTTCATCAAAATTGGAATTTTTTTGTGGTTTATCGGTATTTATATGTCGGCTATTTTCATGCATTTTATTTTACCCAAAGAAAATATAAACTCAACGAGCAAATCACATTTTGGAGAAGTATAAAAAAATATTTATGCCACGTTTGCAACACAAATCAGCTAGTTTATTATAACTTATAGCTTGTTTGATACTTTGATTAGTTTATAAGTTACTTGTATTCAAATAAGTTTAATTTGGTAAGACGAGCTTTTTTAAAGAGCTCGAGTTTATTTAATAAGCTTCTTTGAGTAGATTTTCAAAGAAACTCGTTGAAATTTTTATTTCAGCTAGTTTATAAGCTAATTTTACCAAATATTTTTATCATATAACCTAGCTTTTCAACACTATAAATTCGAAAATTACGGATAAGCTATAAACTAACTTTTCAGCTAGTTTTACTGTATGCAAATATGCTATGTTTTGTAGGACAAGCTTTTTAAAAAACTTCGAACTTATTTGATAAGCTTATTTGAGTAGTTTTTCAAATAAGCTCGTTGAAATCTTTAGTTCATCTTAGCTAATTTTACCAAACATTTGTATCATGTAAACTAACTTTTCAGCTATAAGTTCTAAGCTATAAGCCATAAACTCAAAAATTACTAATAAGATATAAGCTAACTTATCAGTTATCAGCTAGTTTATCAGTTGTTTTATTTATTTAAATGAAGAAATAAATTCATATTAGGATTAAAACGGTTTGCCTAATATATATTTTTAATTATTGCATCTTTTTAAATTATATATTTACTTATACCTTTCCTAATAATGGTTACATAATAAAGATTTTATAGTAAACTCAAATTATGATCTTTTTTTTATTAATAAAAAGTTACAAATATAATTGGAAGAATAATCTCAAATTGAAATAAGTTTAACTTAGAACGAAATTTACAATGAAAAGTATGTATCATATCACAATGATATGTATAAACATTTATAAAAAGGGCATATTTTAATAAATGAAATGTCACAAAAAAAAAAAAAAAGTTGTGTATTTTAATACTACCTCCTGTTCATTATAAATGTCGTTTTGACTTTTGTGATTCATCCATTTTATTATGTATCTAGACATTTTTATTATGTATCTAGACATTTTTATTATGTATCTAGACATTTTAATGTCTAAATACATAATAAAATGAATAAATCACAAAAGTCAAAACGACATTTATAATGAATAGGAGGGAATATTATCTGTTGTGTTAAGCATTAAAAGTAAATTAACCACATAACAAGCAACATTATATTTACGTTGCTTGTGAGAGTGACATAAATCAGTACCATTTTGTTAGCCATTACTTTATGAAGAACACTTTGCATTAATCAATTTAATTCATAATTGTCCATAACTTCGACCACAATTCATAGCCTCTCCAAATTCCCTCGAATATAGGGAAATCATGATTTTAATATCATTATAAAAAATGGGAGGTACAAAATATTTATATATTTTTTAAAAATTAAATAAAATTGAGCATATATTATTATTGGGTAGAAAATATTTATTAATAATAATAATTAATTTTTATTATTGATTTAGTTAGTAGATTTTTAATAAAAAAAACTGAATAAAATGAATACATATTTTTATTTTTATTTAATTTCAATAAAATATAATTTTCTCCAACCAATTAATGAAGTCACACTAGTTGATGGGCTTTACTACATGGGTAATATTTTGTAAATATGTTAGCCCAATATAAAAGCCCGGACTATGTTTATTTATCTAGATGGGCCTGCCGTTCGGCTGTTAGGACTTCTATATAGGCCGGCCCATTCATGAACTGTGAAAACGTCTATATACGGTTTATGGCCCCATCTTTTTTTTTTTNNTTTTTTTTTTTTTTTTTTTTGTAAAAGGCCTTTTTGATCCACTTTTTCGATGGACCACCTTTTCATTTTTCCCACCAACTGTTCGATAAAATGCCTCATAGACAAAAAATCATTGGTTGTGAGATCAAATTTTATGTGGAAAATATGAACAAGAAGATCAAAATCCCTCCATATATATTAACTCAAAACGCGTTGAGCCTAGGTGGCAGATTCTCACGTTTTGGATGCTGACATGGTGAAAATCTATGCTTCGTGATGTTGTTTTTATATTATTTTTGATCTGGAGTTAGGTTTGATATTAAACATAAATAACTTTACACATATATTCATTAACTCAGCACTCATATTGTACATGAGTATTAATACTAATAACTTTTTATTAAGAAAATGGTAGGTAAACTAAAGATAGCATGGTTGGTGAATGGTTAATTTGTGATCTTCCTATTTGATGATTTGTTATGGTCCAACATTTTTTTATCTATATTTTTAACTTTTTTATCTTAAAATATTATATCCACACTATTACAACCTTAAGTAAATAAATCTCAATCAAGACAACTAGAAATTAATTAATAATAATGACGAGATATAACATTATTATATTTGTACTATGTATCTAATCCTTGATTCTGGTTATAATTTTGTCTTGATATATCATTTTCAACTTTTACATAGTTTTAGCCTTTATCTCTCTCTCTCTTTTTTTTTTCTTTTTACATTTTCTCGAAAAATTACGGATTAATTAAAAAAAGAAAAATAAAACCAATAATAAAGATGAATTTTCGGTTGCAAAATTTCGACGATTCTCATAAGTCGACCGAGCTTCATCACCTTCATAGGATGTTTTCATCAAGAAGATTAGATTAAAAAAAAAATTAAATTTGAGCCAAAACATGAACCCTAGTAGGGCCAAATATATATTCACCAAATTATTCTTTTGCAGTTGGCTTAGGTTTTTTGGCTTGTTCATTTTAGTATAAACCGGGATTTGAGTTCATCTGGCTTCTTAGTCTAATTAAAGTGTGGAGGAAAAGCCAATTATTTGGGGGAAAAAATAGTTTTTATTTCTATTTTCACTTTTTATTTTTGCTCTCTTTTGTTTGATGTTTTTATTATACACACGGATCATACATAGATCGAATATGTCATTATTGATCGCGGATAACATGAATGTTACGGTTATTTATGTAAGGAGATTATATGGTCTCGTTATGGAATTATTCTGTCGGAGTTCGTAACCGTTAAATCAAATCCACGACGGTTACATGATGATCTAACGGTTACAAATCCCGACAGAATTATTCCGTAACGGGATTGAAGCATTTTCCTTTTTTTCAATGTACGTGGTATGTTATTCATATAGGTACAAAAAGCACCAAACGATTTGATGAATCAAATCTATACATATATAAAAAGTCATCTCATTTACTAAAATTAGTAGGAAGAAAAATCAACTCATAATTAATTGCACACCATATTTAAAAAGTTTTTAGATTTTTTTAAATCATAAAATAGGGTAGCATTAAATGCCCCTAAGATTATGGTTTTTGTTGAATTTATTTTTAATAAAACACTACAAAAAAATGATGTAATTCCAACGGAAATATATTTCAAAAGAATTATTCCAACGGCAATTCCAACGGATATTTCAATACAATTATTTCCGTTGGAATTTTTCAATGGATTCCAACGGAAATTCCAACGAAAATATTCCGTTGGAATGGGTTTTCTATTGGAATTTTCGTTGGATTTTGACGATTCCAACAGTGGATTTTCCAACGGGGGTAGAAAAAAATATTCCAACGGAATTTGCATATTCCAATGGACATTCCTACGGTAAAAATCCGTTGGAAATATAGCCGTTGGAATCATCAAATTCCATCTAAAATTTCAATGAAAAACACATTCCAACGGAATATTTCCGTTGGAATTTCTGTTGGAACTATTCCAACGGAAGCTATTCCATTGGAATATCCGTTTGAATTTCCATTGGAATATATTACCATAGGATTTTCCGTTGGAATATAACATTTATTTTGTAGTGAAATCTGCATCCAAATTTACATGTGGTTTTGAAGTGAAAATTTAAAATTCAAAATCTCTTCTCATTTTAGTTACAAGAAAATCGGGTGGCATTCAACACTTAGACAAAACTAAAAATTATTCCTTAAATGAAGGAATTTATACATAATTGTTATTTCTACTCAATCACATGATTATTTTTAATATAATAAGAGACAGATTACAAATTAGTGAATCATATATTACTTAATTCAATATCTTAACATTAAGGAATAAATCTATAGTATTATGTAAATCTGTATCTCATATTATTATATCATTAAGATTATATTATAGTTATATTATCAAATCATAAAAATATATTAAATTCATATTGTAAAAAAAAAAATAAAAATAATTCATACAATTTTATAACAATTATACTACAATATTTAACAGTATTCATTTTTATTATAAAATAAAATAATAATTAAACATTATATGGTGAACAAGAATAAGTAAAACTGTTACTTTCTCTTATATCTACAATTGTTGTCACTATATCTACAACAATTGTAGATATAGTGACAACAACTGTAGATATATGACAGTAGATATAGTGACAACAACTGTAGATATAATGACAAAAAAATTCTTCA